GATACATGATGAATTATTGAAGTGCCATTACAGTTAATTAACTGTATCTTACCTATATTGAATTTCATACTCGAATATATTATTTTTAATGAGATATGATAATTATTAATTGAACAGTTATGTATAATTGAACTTTGTAAGAGGAAATAAAAGTTTTCAAGATAGATTTTAAAATATTTTATTAACTTCCGGCAGGGTAAGTTATAGTAATCGCAAAAAAATCGAAAATGAAAATTTTTATGTATCTTTACGTTTCAGAAAAAAAGGATGTATGTGTGTGTGCGAGTGTGCGTGTGTGTGCGAATACAAATTTTTGTCGACGATTTCTCTAACACGGATCAATCTATTTGTATAATTCAAAACACATTCGATTTCTAATAATAATAATATCATTTGGCGATCAAAAATGAACATTAGATATCGTATGTCGTATTATCAGATATTTTATAAATTGGTTCCGTACCAATGTTTTACGTTAGACGACTAAGCGGCGCTTTGATATTTGGACTCTAAATCAGCTATGCAACGCGAATGCTTAATAAAATGTTATAGATTTTCAAAAAAATCAAAATGCAAAAAAATCAATATAAAAAAATCCAATTTTTCAAAAAAATCAAATATTTTCTAAAATTTTAAAATTTCTCAAAAATCTAATTTTTCAAAGTTTTGCAACGTTTTATTTAATAACTTAGCTTTTGGTACGGTAAGTTCCAGCAATTTGCCTTAAGGCACGATGCCATTCACCGCTAGTTGTGTGTCTTATATTTGTGTGAATGCACTCTTACTTAACAGATATTTTATAAACACGATTATTTTTAGACCTCCTGTAACGCATGTGTTATTTTATTCTCAGCAAACCACCACGGTGCAGCCTAATTATAAATATCGGAAACATATGTTTTAGATTAAATGGAATTACGTCCATGTCAAACAATCAGTTAAATCGGCAGAACGCTAACTTAGTTCAATTTAATAATACACCAAGTAATGAAAAATATTTAGTTGAATTTATCTGTTATAAACAATATTAAAGTAGCTAAAAACATATTAGAATTGATCATAATAACTGTATTTAAATTATCCATTATTAATGATATCTCCTCTTCTTTCAGGATGAAGATCAAATCCAGTCATCCAATGTACTTCTGATATTAAAATCGAACATTTATTACTATTCTTCATGAGTTATCAAAAATAACTAAAAATGCCAGAAGGCAGTAGAAGTGCCAATCAGCACGCAAGTTCTGCGTCCATTGGTGATGGTGACACACAAACTGACCAATGTCCAAAACATTTCAAAATTGCATCATCGCGACTACGGAAGAGATGTCTGTTTCTTCTAGTTCTCGGATTGATGATTATGATGATAGTGAATTTGGCTCTTACGCTGTGGATGCTGAAGGTTATGGAATTTTCTTCGGTGAGTAGAAACATAATAATTTTAAATGAATACTGTACGTATAGTCCAGTCATTATAGTAATATAAGTTCACCTCGGTGTCAATACTTGTATATTGACACCAAAAAATGTCTCAAAAGCTGCATATATTGCGTACACTCTACCATGTGTAGGTTTGAGATAACTTTTAGGTGTCAATATATAAGTATTTACAGACTTACAGCTGGGTATTTCGAATTCCGATATTCTTACCTAATTCAAACTTAAATCACTGGAATACTATTACTCTATTTTTTAACTTTGCCAAGAAGTTTATGTTTTCACCGCAAAATCTGCTGGCCAAGATATTTATTTAGAATATGCAAAAAAGTATAACAAATTTTGAACCAATTTCGAAAATGTGGAAACCGTTCGAAAGCTAACTGTCGAGATTTTTGCTAATTAGTTTTTAGTACAGATTGTGATTAGTTATTGAACTTTTGTGCGATTTTGATCATACTTTACATTATAACAAAGCTCATGGTATGAATGACCATTCAAGAATATTATAGGCATATCAAATGTATGTATATCGAAAATAATTAAGATTTTAATTTTAATTTTGGTTAAAATTCTAGAGCTTATTTATATACTTTAATCAAATAATTTTAACATTGCAATTCAGTTTATATGATTCTTATAATATTATATAATGTTACAATATTTATAATAATCTATTTGAAAACATTTAAAATTCTTCGAACATTTCGTTACGGTACGGAAAGTTCTAGCAATTTGCCTTAAGACACGATGGCGTACACAACTAGTTTAATTTGGATTTCAATACTAATACAAAATAATAAACAAAACCTAATTACTGTAATTATAAATTGAATATTGCTATGACAAGACTAGCATACAGAATTTCTAATAAAGAAAAATAACATAATTTAATAAATAGAATTTAATGTAGAAAAGCAAATAAATAATTTCCCTTATTATATTACCATGCTTATTCTCCCAGTATTATCAAAATATATTCATATTGCTATAGATAATTATAATATGTCAAAAGAACACTTTATGATGGGGATATAGAATTTATTTTAGCAAAGCCTATTAAATTATAATGAACGTATACAAAAGCAAACATAATATTGAAATTCTTTTGGAAGTTCCACCTGTCTATATGAGTAGTAATGAGTTTTTTCCAATTCATTGTCCTTTGATATTTTTAGAAATTTAGGAGAAAAAAATACTAATACGTTATTGTTACACGTAAAATGAAGTTTTTGTTTTTGGCTACTATACAAAATAGAGTTAAATTTCTGCTGCGCATCACAACCTCCTAAATACACAAATTCACATATATATCATCATTTTCCACAATTTATATTGAAAATGAAACGGTAAATGTTCGCCCTTAAACATGCGTTTATATAGATTTATGATCTGCCATTTATACCAAAATATTAATAACGGCATATATAATAGCTGGTATAAAATCGACATTGGCAATTAAAAGTTTAATAGGTATCATTATTATAGAATGAGAATTGTTTCATTCTGAATTCAGAATTATTGCCAATTTTAGAGTTGGTTTAAGGCCCAAAATATTCATATGACTGGCAATAAGTGGCGTTTCAGTTTTCAGAAAATGACATATATAACAGAACTGTAATAAGATAAAGTATGAAGACCATGTTTTTTATTTTGAAAATAGTGACATAAAACTTTCTTCATACATCTAAAAATTTTTCTATACTTTAGATCAGTTTGTATGATCTCTTGGTATGATGTTATCACCAAAAAAAATAAAGAGATTATTTTAGTGTTTCATTATTATGTATTTATTTTAGAACAGTTAAACAGTAATGAAACATATTTAGTATCAAAACGTACAGCATAAATGAATTTTGTCATTTACATGTTACCAATTTGCTTGTTCTCATATAATTATATACAGGGTGTCCTAAAACTCTTCGAAAATTTAAAAAAATCGAGATTTACCCAAACCATAGCGAATAAGTTTTATTATTTTTGTTCAAACATTGAGACCCTAGTAAGCCTAAATAATATTTCTAGAATCTTAGTGAAAAAATAAAATGACATCAATACTCAAAGTTTTTAGAAAAAAAAAAGATTTTTTTGGCTTCCCCAAAAACAAATAATTTCTTCACACTGTAAACACAAGCAAAATGTTTTTTAGATAATTCTAATCAGAAGATCCGTTCCCTCAATAATTGGTAACTTTTCACTTTTTGCTCCGTATCTCCAAAACGGCTGGAATCACTTTGCACAAAAACTAATCAGCACATTTTGTCGTTAATACAAATTAAATCATTCTCATACGATGCTCCGTTCTCTCAAAAACTGCCATTCATTAATTACACTCTTAGCTTTTTATCTCCAAAACGGTTGGACCGATCTTTGTCAAAAACTAACCAGCACATCTCTTCATAAATAGAAATAAAATATTGTTTGAATTATTCAAATTGAATGCTTCGTTCTCTCAAAAATTACCATTATTCGCACTTTTAGTTGCGTATCTTCGAAACTGCTGGACCGATCTTTGCCAAAAACCAACCAGCACATCTCTCCATCAATAGGGACGGAATATCTATTGAATTATTCAAATCGGATGCTTTGTTTTTCCAAAAACTATAATTTTTTGCACTTTTAGCTCGGTATCTCCAAAAGCTTCATTCTATTTTCTGCTTTTTTGCTCCGTATCTCCTAAACATCTGTACCGACTTCTGTTAAAAACTAATCAGCACGTCTCTATCAATAGAAATCTAATTATTTAAATCGGTTGATCCGTGCTTTCGAAAATGTGGACAAAAAATTGTAACCACACAAAACACACACATACATAATTTTTTTCTAAGGCATGCCAAAATGTTCAGAGACCTCTGGAACGTAGATATGCAAAAAATTTTATTCTCGATTTTTTTTTCAATTAGGGGACGTCTATTAGTCAGGTCAAGTTTTAGGGGAAGAGGAGATTTGACAAAAAATTACGAAATATCACGTCGAAGAGGGAGGGGTCTAGTAAGATATAACGTGTATTTACTTTTTACATAAATTTAAAAAGACACATTTTAAAAAAAAAGTTCAAAATTCTCAAAACTTTATTTCTATTTTCTGCACTCTTTGCTCCATATCTCTACTATTCAGTATCCACTTATGTTACTACATGTTATATTATTTAGCAGTTGTAACAGATATTGTAATTAAAAAAAACGAATCACAAAAAGGGGGTCAAAATCGGTCACGTAATTAAAGGACGCCCTCTTACTATAACTTATTATTAGTTATTAATAAGTTACCATATTATTTCATGCATCTGCAGCTATCAAGCGTATATAAATTTGGTCTAATGCCACTCACTTTAAATTCCTTATAGTCTTTGTAACATGTAAGTAAGTAAGTTATAAAACGAAACAAATCCTTTCCTTTCCCAGGCAGGGCTGGGAAACTTGCGGGTGGTGCCAGGAGGATTGCATTTGACAGGCAAAGCGTACGTCATGGGACCGCTCACGGCGTCTTCGATCAGATCGAAGCCGGGACAGCCGCTCACGGTCGAATCGACGACAAACTTTACCATCAACACCCGAGACGCCAACGGGATGCTGAAGAACAGAATGTACTTAGGTGGGTAATGGACGGATGGTAAAGGAATTTGAACATATTCTCTTTGGAATATACTGTTTGTTTGGTTTGATTGAGTTTTTGAAGGGCCATAGATTTGTAAAACACTTTAATTGTAATATGTGTTTATTTTAAACTAACTACAAATTGTATTTGTATTTGCAAAATTTTCAAAGTTTAATTGTATTCTATTTATTGCTTTAATTTTATGTAGAAGTGTTTATAATGTAAAAATGTAAAATGTAAAAATGTGTTTTTAATGTGAAACGTTGTAATGCGAATCTATTTTTCAAAGCCGGGAGTATGTTCATGCCAAATCAACGCATCCGATTTATGATATAAAAACAAAACAAAATCAATCAAAAATCTACATATATATATAAAAATATGTCGGGTTTTCCTTCCTGACTCCAGAACGCACGAACCGACAATTTTGCATTCGATGGAAAAGTCTCGGGCCCCGCAAAGTTTATAGCTAAGAAAATTAGTGGCGCATGGCATCGTGCCTTAATGCAAATTGCTGGAACTTCACGCACCGTAATTAAAAATTCGAGTAATGACATTAGTGAGAATTATCAGAATTATGCTTGGTTAAGTCAACGAGAAATTCTTGCCGCAAAGAATAATGATGTACACGCACTGAATTTCACCATTCAATCAAAAATTGCTGGCGATTTGGTGACATACTAATGATTCCGACTGGTCTTCCGTTTGACTTCAAACGATTGCAATTTCCAGTTCGCCTTGCGTTCGCAATAATAAGTCGCAAGGCCTATTGCTTAGTGTTTACGGGATAAATTTCAAATAGATTATTTAGAAAATCATTGTTTTTCACATGGGCAGTTGGAAAACCATCCGCTTTGTTTGTGTTAACGTCAGACCAAAAAACAAAAAATGTGGTTCACCAAAGAGCACTTCAATGAAACGGATAATTTGCGGATTCACTTTCATTTACTTAGAAAAATTCAACTAAAAAACATTTCATTTTTGTAATCGAAATAAATTCATTACTGTTGTGTAATGAAATCAAATTTTTATTTTTCAAATATAAAACAAACAAAAAATTTCTTCATCTTTCTCACGAAACCATCTGGTGGCGAAACGGAGTTTGTCGGGTTTGCTAGTTATCATATAATAAAATCAATCAATACAATAGATTAAAGTTTGAGAATACAATTGAAGTGTTAAAGTCCTACGGGAAGTTAATAAATTAATTCTATTTCTAAATTATTACGTTTTCTAGTGCTAGATCGATTACCAACAATAAATTAGAGTATGAATCCGAATAATTGGCCAACGCACTGCTATCCACAAACACAACACGAAGACTTAAAAGAAAAATATTTAGTGATTTAATTAGATTGTAATTACTCGTGTCACACTATTAATTCTTATAAAGGAAAAATGCAACTGTGTATTTTTCACTATTAATATATCGATGTCATTTTTACATATAATTGCCAAAAGATTTACTTAATGTCTATGTAGGACAGTTGTAAATATATTGTTGAATAAAAAAAAAAAAAAAATGAATCCGAATAAGATATTAATATTTTGCACCAGTAAATTCCAAATTTGCAATTTAATGATAGCAAATGATGCGCATGTATCATAAGCGTAACATTAATCATATTGATACCCATGTATTTGCAAAACCGTATACCGATTATTAAATTCAGCAATTTATTGTAGTTTTCAAGTGCAAATAATATACGGTAGGTATATCTTGTTTAATACGTTTGACATGAACAATAATTTATAAATTGAAGAGATTAATAATACAAATAATAGAAAACAATAAATCGAAATTATCTAGTATTGGGGAATTGAAAATGGAAACAAATGTGGTACCCCGTTATGAACCGTTATATAAAATGATCAAAATAATTACATTTTAATACTCATTAGTATTTTAAATATTTCAGACTTTATTTATTTATTTATAATATGATTTTATATATATATATATTATAATAGATAATATGGTTAATATATTTTTCATACTACTGGCTGAAAGTTATCATATAAATGCAAATTTTCCGATATTGTTTGCAGTAAACATATACGATAGAAATAAAATAATTCAGCTACTAATGATTCAAACCACAAAACTAGTATCAGAACAGTTTTCATATGTTCTGCTAAAGGGTATTAAATTACTAAAATAAAATATTATCAGAGTACTGAATGACACATCATGACTCGAAAATAATGATGCAAGAATTATGAAATAGAGAAATAAATGATAATATTTGATATTTGGAAAGGTAATTTAGTTTTTATTTGAGAGGCGTAATGTTAAATAAATATTTATCGTATCCATATATGGTAATATTTATTTAAATTCATACACTGATAATAAAACAAATTTTTGCTGGTTAACATATATAAAAACAAATATATATTGTAACCATTACCATTTTAATTTTTAGAAAAAAATTATTTAATACTTTATCATTTTAAATTACCGCCTAAAAATCGATGAAGATATGCATGTCGTTAATTTTTAAATAAATTGTATTAATACCACATTTATGATGTAATCATTAGTTTTCTTGTATAAAATTAATATTATAGCATATTTTTATGTAATGTATGTTAATTTTATTTAACAGATCGCAAAATAAATGAATCAAAAAAATTGTACTATGAAAATCATATTGTCTTATTTTTTTATATATTTTTTTATTTAGGTGACGACAAATTAGAGGTTTGGGCTTCCTCGTTTATAGTGATGGATCACAGAGGCGTGCCTTTATTTTCTGCAAATCCTAAAGAAGTAATAGTGGGATCCGATACGTTGCACGCCGCTGGCGAAGGAGGTGCACATTTTACAGGTTCAATACAAACACCAGCAGTGAAATCTGAACCTGGACATAATTTAAGGTACCACTAATAAATATATAATTCTAACCAAATGAGAAATGATTTAGGTAAAAAGACTGCGCGTAAGGTATTGTCACACACTAGAGTTTTGACGAAAATTATGAAATTATGAGTTTTTTAGGGAAGAAAATCGGTTTTTTACTGTATAAATGAAAAATGACAAATACACTAGATGGAAGCAAGCGTTTTGATACTTGGAATCATATCGATTCGATATGAATTTGGAATCATATCAGGCTGTTATAGTTCCCAGAAAGGTTCTATGTTATATTTTGGCTAATGTATATATTAATACAGATTATTATATCAATGTATATATTAATTTAGATTATAGTGACTTCTTGTTGAATGAGTGAATTGCTCTACTCAAACTTAAAAAAAAGATTTAGCACCAGAAGTCATAAATTAAAGAACAAAATTTTAAAAAACTTTTTTGCTATTGTACGAGATGACAAGTTGAAAATACATTCATTGTGCAAGAATTCAAAATATCGTTTATTAGTAATATATTCACATTAGTAATGCATACATTTATTAATGTCAACCACTATACTAATATTTTGAATCATTTATTATCGTATTGGAAATGGATAATTATTCTTTGTTAAATTTAGTTTATCGTCCATAAAATCAATGTCAGGGATCTGTTCTTCGTGATCAACTGGATAGCAACCTATATACATATCTGTTGCTATAAATAGTGGAACCAATCACTTTAACTCGTTTCGAATGAGGACGTCGTTGGCCAATAACGCATCAGTATTTGTGGCGTAACGCATTTCCGTTGCATTTTCGCTGAGTTACCGCCTAGTTGCGCCTGAAGAAGTTTTTTACAGCAATAAGAACTATTATGTGTTGTATAAACTGCACTGAGCCCTGCTTATTACAAAGACATTTTTTGTGGTTAGTAGGCAATCTATTGATTGACCTTACTCTATCTGAGATATAGTTTTAATTTTTATACTGAACGCTAATAAAAGACAACCCTCAGGTTGTCATTCTAATTGAGGTATAGCAGTAATGCCCCATTAAGAGCTATTTGGAACATATTGCTATCTATATTTTCAAGTGAGAATAGTGGGTAACGAACCAGGGACCTCTGAATCAAAGTTCCGTCGCACTTCACCGATTATCTACGGGCGAGCCCAGTTCAAAAAATTGTCTTTGTTTCTAAGTTTAAATGCAGACTGAATGTTGACCCTTTCAACTTACTCCATGGAAAAGTTTAAAATTCATTTTCCCCCTTCATATTATCCTTAAATTATTTCATAGCAACGCATCATTACCTCGCAAACTCGATTCATTCGTAATATAATATAATCCCACATCTCCGTGACGAATGCAAAGCTTCGTCTTCGTCTCCCAAAAGAAATATATCTTCCTTCTGCGAAATGAACTTTTCCAAGAGTGACGTGCAGCCTCTGCATCGCTCCGGTAGGAAAGTGCAAAACGACTTTGAGATTTCGTATTACACGGTGCGCGATCTGTGAACTCGGACTGCAGTATAATATTATTGTGTCTGTTTATTTCGTTCGGTATATTTCGATATTTTGTTTTATTAATGAGGGAATGCCCGGGCCCGTTTGAGAAATTATACCCGAAGAAAAGAAGCGCAAGCAAGGCGCGCGGCATTAGTCAGTCTGACTATCATATACATCACGGGACCGGAAAGGAAATAGACGTTGAAATTGATCTGAGGCGCCATCCGCACCGGAGAAAGGAGATAGTTGCAATATTACTAAATCAGAGGATGAAAAATCTGTTATAATCGTGAATAATATTGGATATTATGAGATGAATCGATGTTTCTGCAGCATTTTTCTCTAAAGTTTGTCGGTTTTAAAAACCGGTTTCAGTCGAAAATTGTGGCATTCGGAAACATTTTTTAGTAGAACACATTGGTTTTCAATGTATAAATAACACTTAAGAAAATTGAAAATGACAAATGTAGCCAAGATAGATGAAAACGCTGCAAATCGAAAGGCGCCCTTCGTTTCACTATCATAAAAATATTTACACCCTTATATAAAAAAATTATGCATAAAGAACGAATAATTAATTGTTTTTAAAGTTATTTAATTTGCATCAAATGTTAACTCCCCGTAAGTTAAGTTATAATAATGGACCAAAAATCGTAAATGAAAATTTTTGCATAACTTCAAGTTTCAGAGGTATTTGAACATTTTAGTATACCTCTGAAAAAATGGATGAGTGTGTGTGTGCTTCATGTGTCCACAATTTTTTGTCGACGTTTTTGGGCGCACGGATCCACCGATTTGAATAGTTCAAAAAACATTCGATTCCTATTGATAGGGAGGTCTAGCCGTTACCGATACGGAGCAAAGAGTGCAGAAAATAAAAATCAAGTTTCTGAGAGAACGAAGTATCCGATTTAAATAATTCAAAAAACAGCCAATTTATAATAATTGGGAGAAATGGTGATTAGTTTTTGGCAAAAACAGAACTAGTCATTTTGAAGATACGGAGCTAAATGAGCCAAAAATGGCAGCTTTTAAGAGAACTAAGCATCCAATTTGAATGACTCAAAAAACTTTTTGCTCGTGTTGACAAAACAATTACTTTTGGATTTTTTTTATTTCAAAATTATTTTAATTTTTTAAATAATGCAGACTTTAATTTTAATTTTGGCTAAAGTTCGAAAGCCTACTTATATATTTCAAATAAATAATTTTAACTTTGTAATTCATCTTATAAATATTAGACAATTTTATAGTATTTATAATATTTGAAAACATTTAATATTCCTCGAATTTTTCATTACGGTACGTAGAGTTCCAGCAATTTGCCTTAAGGCACGATGCCATACACCACTAGTTATTTTTTGTTTTACTAAATTGCATAACAAAAATTATTATCATTGAAATTAAACAGTAAATAATTTCAGGCAAAAACTTTTAATTTGAAATTTTTTGTTCAAAACTTTTAATAACTATACCTATCATTTACTTAGAAAAATTACAAATGAATTATTATATGTGGATATAATGCAAAGCTTACTTCGATTCAATAAAGAACTGAATAGAAATATTGTGAGAGTTTGAAATTGTTTTCCAAAATGTTTATTCTAATAGTTGTTTTACTTAAAATGTGCTACTTATTCTTCAAAAGACATTTTTGATGTATTAGACTTGCTCTCTACATTATATGGCATTCGAAATGCATTATATTATATTGCATATTGCAAAAAATAAATATAACTGTACAACTTCGAATACATTGCATCATCCATCAGTTTTACTGACATGAGGAAAATTATGTTTTTTACATTTCTAAATAATATGACAATATATACGTATATATATATATATATATATATATATATATAATATATATATATATATATATTATAAATATTATAAAATAGTAAAACTGTTCATCTTAAAAAATAATTACCCCTCAGCTTCGTTTTCATTGGAGATCTTTCGTTGAAAGCTATTTTTGACTAATATTTTAATTTTTCTCAAATAGTAATAATTTAAGAAATAACAATGCGTGCCTGGTCTTATTGATGATAATAAGCGTCATTGACCACTTTGTATAAATAATTAATTTGATATAGCATTCACCTCAAATATGATGCACACATAGCATTCACCTCAAATAAAATGGACACATTTTTATACTATTAAAAACAGAGAAATTAACTAGAGGTGATGCCATCGTCCTTGAGCCAAATTGCTGGAACTTTCTGTACCATAATTTGAAATTTTTAAAAGCTCTAAAAGTCCTCTCCAAATCAATAGCAATCAAATGTTCAAATCGGTTGATTCGTTCTTTCCTAATCGTGAGCAAAAAATTGTATCCGCACATACATACGTACACGTACTTCAAATAGATAGCATTTTCAGAGCTTTTAGTACCAAGAAAAATGAATAAGATAGCGTTGCCATATTATTGCAGAATTGGCCCCTAAAATATTATATATTACTAATATCATTAAACTTGAAATTTTTTTAAATTTTTTATGAATAATAAAAATAATGTAATCATTTCAGAGCAAAAAATTGTTCAAAAATGAGGCCAACATATTTACATTTGCGTTCTTAAATATCTAAAGTTTCAATAAATTTTTAAGTAAAAATTTCGAAAATTCATATTATTATTATTAATTTTATTACTGATGTAAACCGATTATTACTATGTAGACCGACCCTTACATATCCGCTTTCTGCTCCGTGAGCGAATTCTGGCAGATGAAGACGATTCTGAACTGACCGAAAGGTATTTTACGCTGAGTTTTCCGGCGTTTTTCATGCGTCGTTGAGTGGAAAGGGCGGAAAAGAAGGGACAAAGTATATCATGCACAGAACATCACCGACGACGCCTCGGAATAATCAGATTTTTGTTATTAGGTCGCTTTTTGACCGGATTTTCTGGACGTATATGTGACATGATAAAAAATATTCAAATTTAATATAACAGACTAAAATGGAAACACATCACATTACAACTAAAATTAAGACTTCCAAATCCAGAGTTAGTGAACTTTATTCGCTTATTGGACATTATTCAAAATTAGCCCTCGAGAACAAAAACTTGATTTATAAAACGATAATAATTCCTATGGTATTGCTACTGGTCATACGGAATAGAGCTTTGGGGTTGCTATAGCAAATGTAATGTGGCATTGGTAGAACAGACCCAATCAAAACTACTTAGAATGATGATCTGAAGGTGCTTTTTAATAAAGACTTTATAAAAACAAGATCCACTAATAATCATCATTAATTAGACTAGTGGGGTGCATGGTATCGGACAAATTGCTAGAACTTCCCGTACCGTAATTAAACATTCAATAATTGTTTTTAATATTTTCAAATAGACTATTTATTATAAATACATATTATGAATTTATAAGTGCTTTTTAAAATGGGCGATGAGCGTATTTTATAAGCAACTTATGTGTACGTTTACAAGAGTCCATTTTTTCTAAATTTTATTTTTTTGATAATTTAGATATTTTCTCAAAATTTTCGAAGTTTAAATTTTTTTGGAATTTAAAAAAAAACATTTTTTTTTTAAATATTTTGAGAATTTGGAAATTTTTGAAAATACTCGTTTTTTTTAATTTTTGAAATTTTCTCAAATTTTTGTAAGAAATCAATGACCGAACGATTTTTTAATCATAAAAATCGGTTATTCCATATTATCGAAAATGTCAAGGACATTTGTTCGAACCATATAAATAAACTTCAAAATTAAAAATCTTGGTACGGAACCCAAAAAAATTTACACATGTTTACACATTATTAAAATCTCTATAAAATATCTGATAATTTGATGTGCATATGTCCAGTAAAGATTTTTGACCGCCAAATGACATTTTTTAACTTATTTTTATTGAGAATCCATAACCGCAAGACCTGCCTTCCCCAAAAAATTAATCAGTTCTTCATCTTGTCAATACAAGTAAAATGTTTTTTGAATTATTAAAATCGGGCGCTCCGTTCTCTTAAAAACTGAGTCACCGTTTTTGGCACTTTTTGCCCTTTGGAACGGCCAGACCTGCCTTTGACAAAAACTAATCAGAACGTTTCTTTATCAATACGAATCGAATGTTTTTTGAATTATTCAAATCAAAATCAAATTCAAATTCAGACAAAAATTTGTATCCGCACACACACACACATACATCCATTTTTTCTAAGATATGTCAAAATATTCAGAAACCTTTGAAACGTAAAAGTTTATAAAAATTTTCATTTTTGATTTTTTGCGATTACTATAACTTACCCTAAGGGAAGTTAATAATAAATGTAATTAAATATCATATGCCAGTGTTCAATTTTATTAATTCAGTTCTTATTATTTTCAGACTGGAATCCAGTACAAGATCTATAGAAATAAGATCTCCAAAGGGAGTAATAATTGAATCTAGGGCTTCCGATTTGAAATTTGAAAGTCTTAGTGATCTCGCCATACATTCTGTGGCAGGAAAGGTAATACAATCTCAATTCAAAATAGAATAATTCATCTTCAAATCTCCATAAATCGATCAACTTAGCTAAGTAGCTTAAACAAATAATACTACAAATTATTTGTTCAAAAGTCCAGATCCCACTTATATAAGTTTATATCATAGATGACTTTCGATTTATCAGAGACACAACCGATATTTATTATACCAATTGCATTCCTTAATCTATTAAATAGAATTAATATATATTATTACCTCTAGATTCGTCTGGAATCTCCGGATGTCCGGATACCAAATATCAGGACTGCAACTCCATCTCAGCCAACAAGTCACAGAAGACAAGAAGATGACCGAACTGGGGGCAGATGGCATCAAGTCTACCAATTGTGCGCCTGTGCCAACGGAAGACTATTCCTGGCTCAACCTCATGGACTTTGTGCTGCCAGGGACGACTCTGATAGAATCTGCCGATAGTTAGAAAAAGAGTTGTACTTAATTAAAGGATAAAGGACAAAGCCTAGCCATTCATATAGATCTGTATTACTAGCACTGTACTTTGGGAGTGAGCTAAATTGGATCAACAAGTCAACGACATCATTAGCTCGGTGCCAATACATAAGTAACTAAATTTGATATAACGGCTTGGTCATTTGATATTATTAATATTTGAATTATGATTATTGGCATAACTATATCAACTAATATTTTTAGAATTTTTATATATAAAGTGCAGTCCAAGTAGTACAGGTCAATAATCATCAACCTTATGAAAATATTTGATTAATTCTTTAAGTTACTCTCACTAGTTTGCTTTTGGTTTTGTGATTTTATATATATTTTGTATGATACATATATTTTGTATGAAATTGTAAATTGAGACTATTCGATTTTGTGTTTACTATTAAATATTTTTTAAAGTTTATAAATTTCTTCTAATTAAATTTAAAGCAAGAACAAAATTCTATTATTAAACAAAATAATAATTGCGAATTCAATCTAACTTAGTTGAAGCAGAAACAAAGTTGATAGTGATATAAAATAATCAAATTATTATAATATTATAATTGAACAGAAATAATATTATTTAGTTTTCATGATCCAAAATATTTTAAAAGTTTTGTTATAGAAGACAATTATTTTACTTTTTTATTTCATTTACAGTTAAACCCAAGACGTGCTACTTTATATAATATACTTTATTGAAAAATAGTTTCAATTTGCAAAAGTTTGAGAAAAAATATCACAGTTTAAAAAAATGCAATTTACCACATTTTACAAGAATAGTCGAGCGATTTGGATATTAAATTTGGTTTATTTATAAAATTTGTTCCAGAATTTAACAAATAAACTTAACTAACAATGGCGCCTACATATAAATGTAATTTGTATACATTTCAGTACATATAGTTCGTATATTTTCAAACATTCAATTACATATCGATAAAGCAATTTATCTATGATATAATTTATACGTTTGGTGTCCTAGCCTCTCGTACTACAAACGACGCAGAGTGTTATGGCCTCTCGTACTAAAATTTTAAAGGTGGTACAACAGGTAAAATTATATAAATGTCTCACAAAATATCTTTTTTAAAACCTATGTTATGTAAATTTTTTAAATTTTAAATATTAGATACAATGAATTAAAATAAAATCGATTATTTTGTACTCTCACGTTATCAATTTATACAGTTTTTATTAACAATGTTTTTATGATTAGCATTTTGTCAAAATTGTCAAAAAATATATATGGTTGTATATTCTGATTATGTTACTCAAAAAAATTGTTATTAGAAACTGCTTCCAATTAGCAAAAATATTTTAGGCTCAAAACGAAAGAGCCTAGATATAATTTATGTTTAGTCGCTAAGTACTGAATCATTATATTTTAGTAGTTAATGATTTATTATTATTGATATTAACACGTTAGTTACCGTGTCAGTCATATGTATCTGATTCCAAAAAATTCTACATGAGCTATGTCAGAGAAGTTTTGTGGAAAAAACAATTCAATATAATAAAATAATTAATAAAGGACCATGTCAGTAATATATGTGTAACTTAAAAAAATAGTGTTTTACCAGGAATTTTGGCAAAGAAAAAAAATTTTTTAGTACATGTCTAACTAAATTTTCTATTAAAATTACCATGGCTCATAAGGATTTTTCTCTGATATTATCGTGGCGATTAACGTGTTAATGACATTGATGAAATGTACATACTGAAAATTGTTTATGGTATTGGATATTAAAATTAATTTTGTAAATAAATACTAAAATATGGAAAAGTATTAACACTAGCATACAATGCTATCAATATGCCTTACTCAATGTACTATTTATTGTACAGGTGAGAAACGGAATGATTATACCAAAAAATGTTTTATTGAAATGCATTTATATTAATTAAAATTTGTTTGCTTACCTTAGATCTATTTGAAAATTATTTTGATTAACACATAAAATATTAATGCTTTTATAATTAATATTATAAATACATCAAGTAAGTGATTGTATTTATAAAACTTAAATGCAAATGTTAAAATGAACCTTCCTCCAGCAAGCAGAAAAGCAAAATGTCACTTTCTGCAAGATGTCAACATCAACATAGACCTGAGAAATTTATTTCGAATATCGACATTACATGTCGATCTTGCATATCTTTTTAATTTTAAATATTCTGTATAATAAATTATCACTAATGTTTTTGTACAAAAATAATATACTCGTATAATAACCACAAATCTTATATAAGAAATTATAAATTCTTTTATCACATAAATTAAATATTGATAAAAAAATTGTAACAAAATTATAAAAAAATAATATTGTAAATAAGTGAGATTCATATATACATATATTCTAAAAGTATGTAAAGAACTTGTAATTATTGTCTATATATATAAATAATGTATAATGCAAATAATATATGAACAGTTATGTAATGGAGTTTTTTTTATTTTAACATTTTTCACCAGTAAATATGATATTGAAAATATATGAAAAAAATCATGAAATGTTTCAAATTTTATGCAAGATTTCAATATTTTAGGTTTCGTACACGTAAAATAAAAAATTATAAAATTTTGTGAGACTTGCTGAGATTTTTTTTTAAATTTAAAATTCACTAAAATAATAATAAAATAAATTCATATTTAGAATTTTTTTGCAAATATTACAACAAATTTAGGTATTAAGGTCAAAAATTATAAAACAATTATGAAAAATAAAAATATATAAACAATTATAATAAAAAGAAGTACAAATATAAAAATTATATTTATAACAACAGCTGAAACTTTTTGTGGATTTTTTTTATTAATTTGGAAGCTTTTGAGTCCTTGGGAGCAAAGAAATTCGAAAATGTCCATATTAAGGACCACCCCATATATATATATATATATATATATATATATATATATATATATAATTATTATTATTTAAATATGTATAATTACATTAAAAGTGAATATTCTTTTAATATATTAATTTATTTCGTGTCATCTTACTAAATTTACAAAAATACATCGACGATACTGAGAACTGATCATATAAATATAATATAAGCTTAACATTTGAATATATAAATAAATATTATATAAAAATCCTAATAGTATTTAAACCTACTATTAATTATCACTATAACTAATGATTTAACAGCTGACTGGAACTGGAATGATTAAATATTTATACTAACTAGTATTTTCTAACAGTAACATTTGGCGTGAACTACCGATGGACCCATTTCTTCATATTCTTTACGAGTGACCCACATTTGCTCAAATAATGATAAAGATGTAAGAATAGAACCTCCTACCCAGACAGTGTTTTTCCTGTCATCTGGTGCCTTGATTTTAACTTGGACATTTCTTGGAGATAATTTGTCTAACTCCTTTTGAAGGCGAGGTACAAAACCATCGAACAACGTTGAACCACCTAATAATTGAAACATTTTTATTTATTTTAATCATCATCATTAAACAATATTTTATCTTACCTGTTAAAATTATGTTGGCAAACAAATCTCTTCTAATATCCATATCACAGGCCATAATAGAAGAAAAAACTGCTTCATGAATACCCTGGGCCGTAGAATCTATCAAATAAGTCTTAAAAAGAGCCTCTGGACATCTTATACATTCATCAGTCATTGTGATAACAGTTCCATCTGGTAACGTATGTTTATTTTCTGTTTTAGGACCTTTCAATTCTTCTTCAAAATTAAGAGCAATTCTACAAAATTGTTCTTTCATACTATGAACCACTTTTCTATCGTCGGGAGTTGTGAGAATGTGTCCACGTTCTCTTAATAGTGATATTAAATAATTTGTGAGATCCATTCCTGCGCAAGGTGAGTGATGGGCAGCCTTAGGAAGTGCATAACCTTTGGGAAATATAGTTATATAAGGTAATAAATCAAAGTAAAGGATGTATTAGGGTAGGGCGGTGCACAAAGGTCTAATGTGACCTTAAGCCATAATATTGTGTAAACCAAACCAATTAACAACAAATAACACGTATCTCCGCTAATTCATCACTGTAGAAATCAGTTTTTCTTTGCTGTTTTTCAATCATTTATAATATTTTTGCCCCATAGGCGGGATAAATTGGGACGGCCAGGTGGCAAACAAGTCCAAGGTCTAATTTGTATTTGAAAAGGATTTTTTAAAATAATTACCTTGATAAATAGGTACGGTGTGAGAGACCCCATGTCCAATGTCTACGACGACGCCTGTTGTCCGTCCACAGGCATACAGGGACAGCACTGCTGGTGTTGCCAAAAACATTGCAGGCGTTGAAAATTTCTCAAACATTATCTAGAAATGAAGAATAAATCTGAATAAATCATTCAGGAGCATTTAAATAAAAGTATAACATTTTAGATAATAGTTTTGTCGACGTTGATTCATATTTGAATTTTCTTTTGAAGCCTTTAAAAAAAAACATTAAATAGATTTTTTTTTTAATCCATTAAACGTTTCGACACTTGATCTATGTCATTATTCAGTAATCTAAAAAAACATAACAGAAATACAAAAGTTGATAATAAATATAAATATATAAAATGAAGAAAATTATATACATAACAAACCAGGAAAAACAACAGAAAAATATAATTATTTAAAATTTATTAAACACTAAAATTGTGTAAAAGAATAATATACTAAAATTTTAATAAACGAGAGAAACTGATCAAGGTTACGCAACACGTGTGGTAGAGTGAGTGGAAGCGGGGTGTAAGAAACAAAAGAGGAACAGAGAAAGGATGGAACGAAAGGAAACTTTCGTCGACGCGGTGCTTACGCGCTTCGATATTTGGTCTCTATGCAGCTAAATAAGCAGTACGATTGCTTTGAAAAGAAGTTTAAAATTTGCAAAATATTTCAAAATAAAAAAAAAACATTTTTTTTCAAAAATGTTTTTTTTCGAAAAAAGTTATTATTTTTTCAAAAAATTAATATTTCACAAAAATCTGATTTTTTCAGTTTAAAAAAAATAATTTTTGGTACGGGAAGTACAAGCAATTTGCCTTAAGGCACGATGCCATGCACCACTAGTTTGTTTTTTTTAGTTATTTGAGTTATAAATTCTGTAGTTAAGTTTAGAACGTTTTTGCTACTTTGCTTCAATATTTATCTCT